CCTGCCTCTTGTCCCAGTATTTTCCTTTCCTCCCCTGCCTTTACCCGTGAGGAGGAGGCGGGGGGTGTGGGGGAGGGGGAAGCAATAATAACAAAACATGGCCTTGTTCATCATTTGAGAGATAAAAGTCAAAACATCTCTATCAGCAGTTAAAATATGTTTTCTATTTTGATGATATCTGAAATGGAACAAACCCTTAGCAGAGGGGATATGGATGATCACAGTGCTTGTTGGGTCAACCCAGAGTTTAAGAAGGGCTCCCTGTGAAGCCTTTCCAGGAAAATGGAGTTCCGAGGGCAGAGCAGCATGGAGACCCTAGGCTTGCCTCGTCCCTGAAACGCAACTAGATCAGCAGCAAACCATTTTGCACGCCTAGGAAACTGATCTGGGGATTAACACAACAATCTGCATAACTTGAGCCACACAACTCAGCAGCAGATACGTGGTGTGGGGAGGTGAGCTGGGGGAGAGAAAAGCCAAGGAAGGTGGGGCGCCGTTTTTATGGAGGGAGGACAGAGAAAGAGAAAGGAGGAGAGTGTGGTACATTGGGATCGTGCAAGAAAAGCACTCCCCAAAAGCAGCTGGAGAGAAGGAGAAAGAGTGAAGGAGGGCACTTTGTGCCTCCCAGCCTAGGAGTGGGCAGCAGGTTCTTCGTGATCTTCTCAGACTTTAAATGCTGACCTATAAATGTTAGTTCTATATTAACTCTCCTTGGAAAGAACTGCCATGAACTTACCTGAAACTTAAACTTATCTAAAATTTTCCTGGCAGGCTCCATGTTTGATTCAACCTCTATTCCTGTGTTCCTAATGGTGCCTGCCCAAAGTAAGCACTTAAAAGACATCTGTGTGCCGAACCACCAAAAGCGAAGAGTGGTTAGTGTAGTGGTAAGGCAGCCAAGCTAATGAACTCAACTAGCCATCCTGGAAGCACATGGTGACAGGAAGGCAACGGTGAACACGAGCAGGTGAGTAAGTAAAATTCTATCACCACTTCAGGAAAAGTAGCTTATGAGCCAGCAGCATTTTCTTCATATGTAAAGGGTAGCTCTTGAGTTTTAGTATAATCTGTACCTTTCTTTCAAATGTTTGATAGAAGTAGCATGACAACAGCCTTGAATGCATTTATTTTCATCATCAGTATAATCAAGTGAATACCTACAAAGATGCCCAAGAGATGGAACTATAGTCTCATTGAGTTGGAAGTGGCATTGTGTGACATCACTGTGAGCACCCGAGGATACAGAACGCTTATCATCATCTTCACGCTAACTTGCATAGAGATCACATTCAACAAAAATTAGTTGAAAAAGGGGCGCCTGGGTGGCTCAGCCGGTTAAGCATCTGACTCTTAATTTTGGCTCAGGTCACAATCTCGTGGTTCGTGAGTTCGAGCCCCATGTCGGGCTCTGCGCTGATGGTGCAGAGCCTGCTTGAGATTCTCTCTCTCCCTCTCTCCCTGTCTCTCCTCAAAAGAGGAGAGTGCCCCACACTCTCTCTCAAAAAAATAAACTTCAAAATACATTAATTAAAAAATTAGTTGAAAAGAATGCATGAATAATAAAAGAATTATAAGAACTCTGAAGAATTGCTAGAAATTATCTGTATTCATTTGCTTATAGCCTATCTCCCTACTAGACCGTAACTTCACGAAAGGAGGGACTTCACCTGACTTAATGTCTAGTTCCTAAGATAGTACCTGACTCAGTAACTTATTTTTGGAATAAATGAATAAATGTATGAATAAAAGATTTTTTAGTTGGAAAAAGTAAACATTTATTCAACTTTGATTTCTCTGAATACAATGTACCTATCCGTAGAAGTGCAAATGGATAATCTATAAAATCGGATAAATCCATGAGTACGCACAAATCTTCAATGAAAAGGACTCTTCTTTTTTTCTTTCCAATAGTGCTGGGTTAAATCCTGTGCCACAGCAACTGCTCAGTATGTGATTATGGATCAAGGAAAGTAAAAAAATTATTAGGGTTCAGAGAAAGGTTATTTATTTATTTATTTAATGTTTATTTATTTTTGAAAGAGAGAGTGAAAGAGTGCAAGTGGGGGAAGGGCAGAGAGAAAGGGAGACACAGAATCCAAAAAAGGCTCCAGGCTCTGAGCTGTCAGCACTGAGCCCGTGAGATCATGACTGGAGCCAAAGTCAGATGCTTAACCGACTGAGCCACCCAGGTGCTCCCAAGGTTATTTATTTTTAAAAAGGTCAGATATAATATGTATTTTATAAAATTACATATAGAGCACAATGGATGGAAAATTTTAAATGGGATAAAAAGTTTCGGGGAAGTCATAATTCTTAAGGAGGGTTAACATGTAAAATAAAGAATCCTTGTCTTTTGAGAGTACTGGTCAGATTAGAAACCAACAGAATGAGAAAGAGAGAAAGAGAGGGAGAGACCTTACTTTGGCTTATAAAAGATTCAAAGTATAACAAACATGTTTGTAATGTCTCTGCAACAAAATTCAAGATGTATACACATATAAACAAGAAAACATCAGATTAGAGGCTTATTTATATACCAATATTTTTCTCCAGTTCACTTAAAATGATGATCTATGGGGGCACCTGGGTGGCTTAGTCAGTTAAGCATCCGGACTCTGGATTTTGGCTCAGGTCATGATCTCATGGTTCGTGAGTTGGAGCCCCATGTCAGGCTCTGCACTGATATTGTAGAGCCCGCTTGGGAATCTCTCTCTCTCTCTCTCTCTCTTCTCTCTCTCCTCCTCCCCTGCTTGCTCTCTCTCTCTCTCCAAAAAAATTACATTAAAAAAAATAAAATGATCTATCTACGTTTACCTGGCAAAGTACTTTATATCTAATTAATCACTGTGAGGGGGTATTTACAAGGTAAAAGAACAGCCCATAACAATCTTTCACACAAGGCTTTGAATTCTCATGTTTTAACCTGTAAATAAACATGTAATAATTCAGCATTAAAATGCTTAAAGTGCATAGATTAAATTAACTTCTTTGTATGCTGATAAGGAGATGCTTAAAAACATTACATGGAGTCAGCTAAACATTCCATAACCCATTTATTTGAAAGATCAGTTAAGTATCACCTTTGGGTATGCTTCAATAAAATAATTATCTCTAGATCTTATAGCACAGAGAACTAGATGGGACCCATCAATATTAAGTCCCCATTCTGAACTTGTATGCAAGTGCTAATGACTCTTTGGCATGTTTCTGCATGCATGGTCTTTGTTAGCCAAGGTCAAACCAGTCTAACACAGCTTCCAGAACCAAGGGACTCAAGGAACCTGGAACTCAGTTAAGCCTTGGCTCTTCCTCCCTGTTGGGGTCTTCTAGTTCTCAGGAAGGAAACAGAGAAAAGCTAGGCTAAGCAAAGAAACGATGCTGAGGGCCCGACTAGCCGTAAGCAGATGGTGCTAAGAGTAATACCAAGCAGTCCTGAAAATCTGGTGGCTTCAAAACAGTAAAACAGATTTGGCCATGCTATATTGGCCACTATCTGAGTGATCAATGTGATCAGATACTTCATAACACTATCAGAACTCCATAGTTCTAAGATGTATGTCATGATGATGCATCACGGGTCATCCATTCCAACGGGTTCTGAGCCATTATATAGTCTACGTCTGATTAGATTTTTTCTGTAAGATGGTTTCTTCATTGTTTGTAGTTATCTTCAATGGACATAACTAGGAAATATGGGTGCTATACACACACACACACACACACACACACACACACACACACACATCTGTATGCATATTTAATTTTTTAACCTAAGCCATGAATTTATGCTTTTACTTCCAATATTTTTTATTAGATTTTAAAAGGTGATTTCTATCTAATTTACCCTTTTACTAGGCTGAACATTTCAGCTGTCCTTACATGAAAAACCTTGCTCCTTTTACATATTGAAATTTAATTCATTAATTTGAGGCCATTGTCCTAATTTATCAACTTTCCTTAGCCCCTATTAAAGAACATTTATGAGATCTCCCATCTTAAAATTATCAACAACCTTATAATACATTCAACTCCATTGTCCAGTTCATTAATAAAAATATTGAATACTAAGACTTAAAACAGACTTTTTGCAGGCTTGTCTTCAACATCCCTCCCCAGCTTGACATAAGACTATTTAATGGACTTTACTTGGTCAAATCTTTGTCCATTCTGGGACAAAGATCGTGTAATCCAATATTCTGTGATTTTTTTTTTCCTAAAAAAAACCACACACTATGCAGACTTAAATATCTACATACAAACGATGTGTAAAATGCACACTTAGGTCTGTATAGAACCTTTACAAATTACCGCATTTACAATGGAGAAGAGGAATTAATTCACTGTAGAGTGCTTTATGGTTTCTGTGATCAGTTATCACATGTATACCCTTCAAGGCTTATTTTTAATGCTTCAGATGTTGAAAAAAATAACAATCTGTAGCAGGATCCTACATTGGCACATGAAAAAGACACACGGCCATGTATACGTGTTATATTTTTAAAAAATCACACTAAATCTATGGTGATCACACTAAATCTATCATATAAAAATAATAAAACCTTAATATCTGGCTTTCAAGGAAAACTATCCGATTCCACACATGAGACAAACATACCCAACATGAATTTTTCCAGCTACTCTTTTTAACATATAAAGCATCTTAGAGACAATATTTCTTGTGTTTCTTTTGCTCTTCAGGCCTAGATTATGGCTAATACCTCATGACACCAAAAGTAATACTGCAACAGATATTAAAGCACTTTTTCAGCCACTTATTCTATAAAATATTAATTGCAAGCCTGTGCATGTGCTGTATAGATAGGGATTAGGTAACCAAGTTCCTGCTCAGTTCTAAATCAATGAAAGATAACGTGCACAGCATCAATCATCGTTCTCTCTTCCTTTAGCACATAGTAAGTGCAAGTGGAAGATTTTTAAAAATATATATTTAAGCACTCATGGAGATATTACAGGCTAGAGAGAATGTAAGTAATACTTACCTAGGAAAGACAGGCTTTTCTCCAGAAGCAAGTCTCTCAGCAGGACTTCATGCTCATGACCAATGGCACTGGACAGGTTAGTTAAGGACAGTAACACAGGTGGAAGTAGATCATTAAAAAGAAAATGCTGATACCAGGTCTCTACTTTCAGATGAAATGGAAAGTGGAGGTAATCATAGCAACGATTTCCACACTTAGCCCACATCTCTAAGGAAAGAGATTTCTATACATGCACCCTCATTTAAATGGTTCCATGGAATTTTCCTCTTTCTGTAACATTTACATGCCTTTTGACAAATAAAGATTTGTAAACGGATGTGTACTTCGTCGTCTTTGAAAGGAGGGGGAGTCATTTTAAACATCCTTTGTACTATGTTAAAAATCCCTCAATTCAGGTTAGTACATTTATTGAGCACTTACTAAGTGCGGCAAAGCATTCCAAATTTCTAGCCCGTTTCATTTTCAGCCTGCTGCTGGTGAGCTTCTGCGAGGTGGGAAGCAGAACAGCCAATCTATTGAGAATTGTAGGTACTCTGGAAGGAGGTCATCCAGCAAAGGACTGCGGGTTGGGGTGCTGGTACAGAAGCTGTTTCAAGTCTTTCTATAGTGTGTTCCAGTGTATCATATTATCATCTAACACAGAAACAGATACAGGCACATACAAATTCTCTGAGGGATTACTATGAGGTCGGCACTGTGTTAAGTGCCATATGTATGTTGTTTCATGCTCAGTTATTATCATCCTTATTTTACAGATGAGGACACCAAGGCTTAGAAAAGAATCCGCACAAGTCCACACGGTTAATGTGTGGCAAAGCGGAGGATCTGAATGAGATCTCTACGAAGTCTTCGTTTGTGGCCTCCATACAACTTCTTGAAAAGTATTAAAATTAACTATGTGAAAATAATGGATACTAGCCAACAGTTCTTAAATTTTTTTTTTTCCAGCGTTTATTTTTATTTTTGGAACAGAGAGACAGAGCATGAACGGGGGAGGGTCAGAGAGAGAGGGAGACACAGAATCGGAAACAGGCTCCAGGCTCTGAGCCATCAGCCCAGAGCCCGATGCAGGGCTCGAACTCACGGACCGCGAGATCGTGACCTGGCTGAAGTCGGACGCTTAACCGACTGCGCCACCCGGGCGCCCCACCAACAGTTCTTAAATACCATAGACTAAGCCTTGGTGCTAAACACTGGGGGTATCATCGTTTTTGTGGGTGAAGTCCTCAACAACTTTGGTTATTTTATTGTTATAGTGTCACAGACTCACTACATTCAGCTACTCATATATGCACATGCCATTTGTTTCCTTACCGTCTTAGTTGTTGACAACTCCATGCTGTTCAAACCAAAATGTAGGTGTCCTAGACTCCTACCTGTCTCTCACATTCCTCTCAGTTCGTCAGTAGCTCTTGTTGGTGCCAACTTACAACTAAGTATGATACTCGCCAAATTTTTACGACTTCCTCTGCTGCCATCCCAGCCTAGCATTTCTTTAAAAAATTTTTTTAAATGTTTATTTATTCATTTTGAGAGAGCGAGCATGCATGTGTGAGTGGGGGAGGGGCAGAGAGAGAGGGAGAGAGAGAACCCCCAGCAGGTTCTGCACCACCAGCACAGAACCTGACGTGGGGCTCGAACCCACAAGCCGTGAGATCATGACCCAAACCAAAAATCAAGAGTCGGATGTTTAACTGACTGAGCCACCCAGGTGCCCCTCTTTTAAAACAAAAACATTTAATTAAAAAAAAAATTAATTCTAGTAGAGTTAACATACAGTGTTATGTTAGTTTCTGGTGTACAATATAGTGACTGAACACTGCCATACAATACCCAGTGCTCATCACGACAAGTGCACTCCTTAGTCTCCATCACCTAGTTCATTCATCCCCCCACTACCTCCCCTCTGGTAACCATGAGTTTGTTCTCAACGTTAAGAGTCTGTTCCCTGGTTTCTCTCTCTCTCTCTTTCTCTGTTTTCTTTTTTTTCCTTGGCTCCTTTTCCTTTGTTTTGTTTCTTAAATGCTACGTATGAGTGAAGTCATAAGGTATTTGTCTTTCTCTGGCTGGCTTATTTCACTTAGCATTATGCTCTCTAGATCCATCCATGTCCTTGCAAATGGCAAGATTTCATTCTTTTTATGGCTGAACAATATTCCGTTTTTGTGTGTGTGTGTGTGTGTGTGTGTGTGTGTGTACGCGTGCGACACACACACTGAATCTTCCCTATCCCTTCACCTGTTGACCGACACTTGGGCTGCTTCCTTATCTTGGCTATTGTAAACAATGCTGCCATAAACATGGGGTGCAGGGATCCTTTGAATTAGTGTTTTTGTATTTTGGGGGTAAATACCCAGTAGTGCGATCGATGGATCATAGGGTAGTTCTATTTTTAATTTTTTGAGGCACCTCTATACTGTCTTCCACAGTGGCTGCACCAGTGTGTATTCCCACCAGCGGTGCACAAGGATTCCTTTTTCTCTATGTCCTCGCCAACACTTGTTATTTCTTGTCTTTTTGAGACAGTCATTCTGGCAGGTGTGAGGTGGTAGCTCACTGTAGTTTTAATTTGTGTTTCCACTTGGGGTATCATCTAATTTAACTTTTACCACCACCACATGAGTAGGTACTACTCTTAGTCCCATTTTTATAAATATGGAAAGCAAAGTTCAAGAAGGCTGAGGAACTTGCTGAAGGTCCCATGGCTGGTAAATAATTAAATCAGGAATGGGATTTAGGGGTACCTGGTTGGCTCAGCTGGTAGAACAAGCGACTCTTGACGTCAGGGTTGTGAGTTCGAGCCCCACGTTGGGTGTGGAGATTACTTAAAAGTAAAATCTTTAAAAAAAGGAATGGAAGTTGGAATTCTGCTATATTTTCCAAAAGGATGCGCTTGCACAAAGTCTGAAAAGGAGTGTAATACTATTCTGGTACTTTGACTCTATCAAGTGCATTTGGCAGTAATAATCTAATTCTCCATTGGGTAAGTCAACATGGTCACACTGCTCCTCAGCTTACCCCATCATGCACTGCAAGAGTCCAATTTAAATGAAATAAAATTTATGCATTATTTGTTTAAAAAAAAAATTCCTAGAGAATCATCTCCCCTTTATCAACACATACAGGTTAATACCATTTAAATCATAATTCAAGAGATGAGGCCACTCATGTCCACCATCAAAATGAGGCCCGACTCATAACTGCATTTTTCCTTCTGTTGTCCCCTCTCCCCACTATGCACGTGGCTGTGCTTATTTAATTTCTAACTGGAAAAAAAAATAAAGGAACAAATTTTCAAATCATAAACTTTCACACATTTGCAGAGTCCACTGAAGACATCTGCTGAAGATCTCTCAATGGTTTCTCATTATTAGGGGCATCCCGCATTTTAGAACTAAATTATTTACTTCTAATCCACATAAATGCGCTCTCACTTTTATTGTTGTAAATTATTCACATCTCAAATGTTGAATCATGAAACGGAGGTTACTGATGGTACAGAAATGAAACCCACAGCATTTTAAGCTTCCTGCATCAACCTCTTTCCTTGGTGCTCAGTTTAGGTCTTTGTGTAATAGCTGGGTCCTGGAGTCACACTTTGGAAAGGTGAACTGGCTGGTTTCTCACACCTTTTGTGTCCGTGAATACATCTGTGGCAGGAAAGGTGTGGATGGACATGGCTGTGCAGGAAAAAATGTAGAAGACACCAAAAGAAAAAAAAGAAAGCACAATGACAATGTATGTACTCTTTGCTACCGTGCTTTTCGTGATGTCTTATTTGTAAATGACCAATTTACTTTATTCTACTTACACAAATGTCTACATGTAACATTTACATAATGGAGTAAAAAGATTTTGCACCTATTCTATTTACTAAATGTGTACTTTCTTTCTCACAAAATGATGTAATTTACCGACAGTAAGCAATGTAAACATTACTAAATTATCAGAACAACATACAAATAGCATTTTCGCTCACACGGAAAACTACTAATTTTTATTCAGTGTGAAATAAAGTAATTCCTGTGGATCCATCTAGGAAACATCTATGCAAGCATATTTACATTATACGAAACTGCTACTACCTTGGTGCAAAAATAAAATCAGTTGTCTATAAATTTCCCAGCTTGTTTTATTTTGTGTGGTGAAAGCAATCACCGATTTGAAATTTTGCAAAGACATGCTTCTTGATTATGCTTTTCTTGATATAAACATATAAAAAACACAAAGTCTAGAAAACAAAGCTTATAAAAACAGTAATTTTACTGGCAATAGGCATAATGGAACTGCAAAATTATAATCTAGTCAGTGAATGCAATTTATAGACATACATCATTATCTTTATCAATTGAAACCATGTACTACATTAAATTCTGTTGGCAATAACACAGCCAAAAAAGGAAAAGTGAATGATGGCAAAAATGTAAAGAAAATACTCTGAACAGAATTTATAATGCTCTATAAGCAGAAAACACTTAGACTTTGTCTATAATAATACCTATTATTGATGTATGGCAGTGACCATGGGGCAAAACTTGTAAATAACCTCACAAGCCATTTTCTTAGCCAGCAATACAGCAATCTAGTTTCCCGTAAGCATCTCAACTATTACTGAAAAATAGCCTCCTGGCATTTACAAAGCAGTTGACTTCATACTTAGTCCATGCATATATAATTAGATAGTTATATTTAAAATCAATATGCAATCCTTCAAAAGACATTATGCTTTTAAAACCTTAACTTTAAATTGATTTTTAACTATTTTATGTGCTTTAAAATTAACATGTAATTCCGCCCCAGATACTCTGAGATGGTGTTAGTTGTTATACAAATGTGCTAAACTTTATCACTGTAGCAACATGAGGTTGGCACTCCTACAATTTCTAATGCTATCATTAATTTTATACTGAAAATAGAAGTATAGTTTCACTTTGGTCTAATAAAAAGGCAAGCTTATGACAGGGCTGTGATTTTAGTAATTTAAACTACATTGGTGGTGGGGGGGACACACTTGAAGAATAAATATATAAAGGACTATAACTTAGGTAGTGAATATTCTTACAAGAGGGCTCTGTTAAAAGATTGTTTTTCAAAGGTTAACTTTATAAAGAAAATGAGTTTCTTTACAAAAATTTTACGGAGTCTAAGACTTTGTGAAACAAGACGGGATATTAACACACACACACACACACACACACACACACACACACACACACACGCCCAGGACTTTCAACACAAAGCTTCCTGACTAGTCACACTGAGTCTCAAATAGTCATAGTGCTACCCATACTCACAAAACCTATACTAGGAAGGCCTTTTACAGTATTAAGAAATGTGAGACACATGGACTCAGGTGGAATAGGATTTTCATTTAAAAAATTACTAGTTGTTTACTCTTTAAATAGCATTTTTCCACCAAGGGGTATCAAAATTCTCAGCATTGCCACAGTACTGCTAAAGGTATTGGTGGATAACGTCCTACTTCATGAAGTAGTGAATGTTTGCTCAAATCCCGTTTCAAGAAGAAAGTATTAACTCTTTAGTAATCTCTTGTCTCTAATGAAGAGTGACTGGACACCTGTTTTTATAGCCTTAAATCAGTCCAGAGGGAAAAATTAGCTTGGTTTCTCTCAAACTGTTTATTAGGGATCCAAATGGCAGCCTGGGCTGTAATCAGCATTTAAGCAACAAGAATCTACTGCCCTTTCAAAAGCGATGGCCTCCGTGGCATTTTAATCACTTCCTCCTTTAACTCCAGGCTCCACATTTATTCTAGGGAACTCAACTGAATTTGGCTCATTTTGTATGGAATTTCGTTCTCTCTTTTTGCAATGTTCACTGGATTGGTGAGAGACATTCCCAGACAGTAGGCCACGTGCTTCATGATTCTGTCCCTTTAAACTCCCTGAAAACGAAGCAGTTTGAGATAACGTGTGAATGTACAACTGCTGAACTGACAGCCTCCCGTGGCCCATCTGATTTTCCTTAAGCTGTAGAAAAGGATGGTCTGCAGTGACCCTCCAGTTGATTGAATGTAAAGTAGAAGGGTATGAAATGTGTTTTGTGAAGCAGAACTTTATGTCAGGTTAAAGCTAGACACATCTCCTCCACTGAGTCTGAGCTCGTCAATTGTGCACCTAAAATTTTATGGGAAAGGATACTGTTTGATGCAGTCTACCAGTGGTCCATAACAGCAGTCGTTCACAATGCACTGTGGATAAAACACAGAAGGGGGTCTGGGGTGACTATGAAAAGGGTTACCGTTAACTAGTATCCTAAAAGCAGTCATTATTTTCCTTAAAAAAATAAAATAAAAAAAAAAAACCCAGCTATCAAAAGGCTGTTAAGATTTAATCACAGAAAACAAAAATCGCATGCTTTTTATTCACTATAAAAGCAAGCTATTAAAAAGTGAAATGCTCTTCTCGCAAATATTGCATTGCCATTTATGGTGCACCCTGACCTCAGTGATAGTTTATGATGACAGTAATTAAATGAGGTTTAAAATCCTTTACTCCGCTAGGCAGATAGCACTGCCACTGAAAATAGACAGCTGTGATTAATACCTGATAGACCTGATTTGCTAGAACTCCATCTGGAATCTGAGAAGGGTCCCGTAGCATACTATTTATAACAGACTTGGAGGCTGTAGGAGAAAAGAGATGAACTGTTAACAGTCAACATAGTTCTAATGCAGCATGAGGACTGACATGTACCTATATACACACAAACTATGCAAATGAAAACATTACTGATACTAATAATTTTTTCCTTTTTTTTTTAATCGAAGGGAAGCTTTTAATTAGACCATTTTGCCAAGTTTATAAGCCACACTGCCAGATTTGAAGATGACCTAATTTTTCCAAGGTAAATTAACAAGTACAGACCTAAAGCATATGTCTCCTTGCAGATCAATTAGCTCTGGAAAAGCCCGCTTGGGGAAAAAACACAACATGAACAATCAGAGAAGAAATATTTACCTTTTGCAGGTTAAGTATTTTCTAACTAAGCAGATGTACATGGAGAACTTCGTGAAGGCAGGTCGGATTTCAATGATGTCAATAAAAACAACTTTTAGCCATGAAAGCATCTCTGAATTCTAAACCTTTCTAAAATAATTCTCATCAATTGCCACAAAATATTATGTCCGGGTCCCAGATGAGAAAAGTAGGTAAAACTAACAACTGAAGGAAACTTAAGGAAGGAAAAAAAAAAAAAAAAAAAAAAAAAAAAAAAAAAAAAAAAAAAAAATATATATATATATATATGAATTTTTATCCCAGAATATGCCTCCTCATATCCAAGTGTAAATTAAATTGACCTTACCCCAGGAACTACTACAGAAGAAAGGCTAGGGGAGGCATCTAACGAAGAATGCTCTATCAGATCATACCCTTAGCAAATGGAGGCAAGAGATTCGGGCCCTGCTGTTTTCTGTAGGCATGTGGAAGCCAAGATAACCAGAACTCCTCTTCCTCTGCAAGGGAAGAAGGCAAGCCTCTAAATTAAAACTAAGTCAAGTGCTGCCTAGGAATCAATCCTTCCAAGTCCTCCAATGGGATGATTCCCAAACATCCAGCAAAACGGCTTAGGGTCTATCCACACAAACACAAACTAAAATGCATATTGGATAATTCTCTAGTTAATAGAATGAACGCAGACCACAGATCAACATCAATCACACGGAGATGATTTTAGTTTTTTTTTTTTTAGATTACTATGTTCTTTATCAAGTTCAACGCCATAAGAACACTGACAGATATGATAAATGTTAGTAAATACTGTGTAAAGAAATAAGGAAATTACATCTTTTTCACTTAAGCACAGCACTGAGTCCACAAAGAAAAAAATGCAATACACTTTTTAAAAATTATTTCCTATTGTTTAATTATTTCCTATTCTGCACGCTTATAACAACGTTTACATACTTAGCTATTTGTAAACGTGTGTTTGTAACTGCAAGTGTAGAAGCCATATCTGGAATCCTAAAAAGAGCATCATCACCAGAGTAATACTAGCCAGCCCTATCTCTACCACTAGCTCTTCAGCCTGGGCAAAGTTGTGGAACACGGAACCTCTCAGGCTCACTGTCTTCTGTAGAAAATGACAATATTATCTAAGCGGACCACCTTCAACCGTTCTTGTGTGTCTCTGGAGAAAAAAAGCAACAATGGCTGTCTTGTTGATGTTGTCAAGTTTAAGTGATATCAAGAACCAAATCAGGAGCACCTGGGTGGCTCAGTCAGTTAAGCATTGGACTTCGGCTCAGGTCATGTTCTCACAGTTCGTGGTTCGAGCCCCGTGTCGGGCTCTGTGCTCATAGCTCAGAGCCTGGAGCCTGCTTTGGATTCTGTGTCTCCCTCTCTCTCTGCCCCTCCCCTGCTTGCACTCTGTCTCTCTCTCTCTCAAATATAAATAAACGTTAAAAAACAATAAAAAAAAAAGAACCAAATCAAAGTTAGGCATTTGCTTCACATAAGCTTAAGTTAGACTTTATTATCTCTGTAAAAAATGACCATGACTATGTGGTACAAATACTGGGAAAATGAAACTGCCAATCTTGTCATTGTAAAAGAATAGATTATTGCAAAAACAGTGTTAAATAGATAGTAATGCACCTGCTAACTTCACTCAATTTTCCCAACTTAATTCTAAGGCCTGGCCAGCTGGAGGGGACCAAAGCAGTTGCTCATGCATTTGGTGACCTTCTCTGAGGGTTCTCTCTCTGGTTGGCCCCTCAGTTACCAGACAGTAATGACAGACACATTCTTTTAAGGTACCCATGATGCCATACCATGTCTCCAAGAAACAACAGCACCTTCCCCACATGTACTTGGTTATAACTAAGATGTTCTACTGTTCTTACACCATATAAGGAAAAGATTATCAATCTATAAATGGCCAGATAACATGATCAAAAGTTCTATCCTTTGGAAAATTACTGACCGCATATCAAACTGTATGATAACTCAAGGCAAACCATAGATCAAAGGCTCTTTTTTAAATAGAGGAGAGAAAGGGCACCTGGGTGGCTCAGTCAGTTGTGCATCCGACTTCAGCTCAGGTCATGCTCTCACAGTTCATGAGTTTGAGCCCCATGTCAGGCTCTGTGCTGACAGCTCAGAGCTGACAGCTGCCTCAGATTCTGTGTCTCCCTCTCTCTCTGCCCCTCCCCCACTCTCACTCTCTGTCTCTCTCTCAAAAATAAATAAATGTTAAAAAAATTTTTTCTTAAATAGAGGAGGGAAAATACTCTAGGACATAAGAAGATGAAGTCACTTATTTTGTGAGAGAAGAAAAGTAAATATTATAGAAAAAAGAAACTAATGACGTCGTAATTTTCTGCACAATATAAATTTTTTGAATAGTGCTTATCAGAACTAAGAATCATAGCCAATAAGTTTTTTTTTTATTTTATTTTTTTAAAATTTTTTTAACATTTATTTATTTTTGATACAGAGAGAGACAGAGCATGAACCGGGCAGGGTCAGAGAGAGAGGGAGAGACAGAATCTGAAACAGGCTCCAGGCTCTGAGCCATCAGCACAGAGCCCGACACGGGGCTCGAACTCATGGACCGCGAGATCATGACCTGAGCCGAAGTCGGGCACTTAACCAACTAAGCCACCCAGGAGCCCCAAGTTTTTTTTTTTAAATAGCCTGAATATATTGAATAGAACACTATTCAAATCAGAGAAAGCTTGCAAGAACAAGTCAATCATTTTAAATTGAATACTAAGAACTATGTATTGAACCCACATTCATTTTAAACTCAGTAAAATGTCTTTTCCTTTTCCTATTTTTTAGAGCAAGACAGAAAGTGATAATAAATAGGGAGTCAAGGTCTTGGCCACAGACCCAGGATATGCTTGGCCCCCATTTGCAGATTTTAGCACTTAAGCTTCATAAAAGTATACCTGTGTCTCAGATCCAAGCCAGAGAGTGCAAACTTACTTTTACACACAAACGCTGAAGCTAAGAACCGCCAGAGGGATGAGCAGTATCAAACAGGTAAGGAAAGGCAGTTGGACAATCCTGGGATGGCTAGGAATAAGAAGGGCTCAAGGAAGCCAGGGCCTTTCATACAAGCTGTCCCTGGGCCAGCTACTACCTAAGCCCACGTTGCATCCATCTTTTTTGACCATATGTAGACAGGAGGCTTAGGTTCTCCATAACCTTTCCTAGATGCATTCATCTGTTGATTTTACAGTTCACCCCTGTCACTGCTTCAATCGATTGCTAGAATTTCAACTTTCTACCAACCACGTATAGGGCAGGAATGCATGAGTCACTTGAGGCTACATGCACAAGGATAGGAGAGAACTGGTACCTGTTAAAGCATGCTACAGAAGACAGGCAATAGGCAATGTCTGGACTAAGGCATAATGCTGAAGATTATGATCTGCTTTCTGTGTAATATTTTTTTTTTTTTTTTAAAGTTTGTTTAACCTGAGAGAGACTGACACAGCACGTGTAGTGGAGGGGCAGAGAAGAGAGGGAGAGAGATAATCCCGAGCAGGCTCTTTGCTGCCAGTGCAGAGGCCAATGCAGGACTCGAACCCACAGAACTGGGAGATTATGACCCAAACTGAAACCAAGGGTCAGAGGCTTAACTGACTGGGCCACCCAGGCACTCCTGCTTTCTGTGAAATATTTCAAGAGCCAAAAAAACCCAAACATCCGTGCACCCACCACTCTGACAATGTCTGGATCTTCAATTAAATTTACCTTAGATAGTCTAATATTAATTTGTGTAAACTTTTTTATTTATCAGTCTTGCTAGAGGTCAGTTCATTTTTCTAGTATTTTTAAGAAACTAAATTTTGGTTTCATTGATTCTCTCTACTGCTTCATTCCTTTCAATTTCATTTAATTCATCCTTTTGTCCTCATTATTTCTGGCTTTCCACTTTGAGTTCATTGTATTATTCTTTTACAGACTTACTATCTTTGTTATATAAAATTTTAATCTTTTATTTTAACATATACTTTTTAAGGCTATAATTTTCCCTCTAGATTCTGCTTTAGCTACATGCTCCAAGTGTTCTTCTTATTTATTTATAAATATTTTATAGCTTCCATTATGATTTTATCTTTGATCTATAAATTATTTAAAAATTTATTCCAAATTTCTAATTTGACCATATTGGTCAAAGTATGTGATGCTTATATTCATTTGGGAGTATCTGTTTGACTTCCTTTGGTGTTTTCATTTGCAATCAATTTTTATAAATATTTTACAGATCTTAAAAAATAATAAAGTTCCTAATTTTCAGATACAGGGTTCAGTTTTGTCTAGTAGGCCAAGATTTTTCATTGTATTATTTAAATGTTCTATATTCTTATTTTTTCATTAATTTTAAACAGACCCCTATCTAATCTAATCATAGCTCTTTTGTAATTCTGAGTACAGTTGACCCTTAATCATATGAGGGTTAGGGGCACCAACCCCCTGTGTGGTTAGCAGTCCCACATATAACTTCTGACTGCCCAAAACTTAACTACTAATAGCCTACCGTTGATAGGAAGCTTAACTGATAACATAGTCGATTAGCACATTTTGTATGTTATATGTATTACATACTATATTCTTACAATAGCTAGAGAAAAGAAAATGTTAATAAGATCATAAGGAAGTGAAAGCATAT